GTGGATTAATAGTCTGGCACTTTCATTCATAGTGAAAGATAATTTACCTAGTGTTAAATATTATCAGAATAAAAGCTAATTTTTATCATAAGGTAAGAAAATACTGACAACAACTTAAAGATGGGATAAAATAAAATAAAAAGAAATTGAAAAATGTGAAATACTACTCGACAAGAAAAAATTAAATAAACTACCAAGCAAATTTTCCCCAGGCAAACAATTAAATAAAGCAGAGCTAACATTCACTCTTAAATCAACTTTTCCCCCAAACTTTTCATGTTGTTTGACACTCACTCTAAGATAAAGATCCTAAACCGAGTAATGGAAAAAAGATGTCATGAACGTGACAAACAAAGAATTGCTATACAATATATATGACATAACCTATTGCAAATTGTACACAGAAAATGTAATTAACATCAAGATTTTGGTTCAGGTGAGAAATGCATCTAATGTGAGAAATGAGAATGAATCTCAGCTATTGGATTTACGAAGTTGCACTAAAATTGGCTTTATAATGCAGTAATATTTAAATTTTGCACATGTTGCACTAAAACTGTTTCATGTTGCACTAATATTTGACGGCGTTGCACAGAAATAGCTTCATGTTGCACTAGACACGTGTAATACAGATTTTTCAGAAGTATTTACAGAAATGCCACCGTGCTAGATTGCATATTTCAGTGCATCATGAAGTGTCTTTTACTGCAACTTAGTCGAATCCAATGACTGAGATTCATTCTCATTTTTCACCCAAAGGGTTCTTCTCACTTGAACCTTACCCTTAACATCAATATGTCATGTGCTGCCTTGATAGTGTAAGTAGTCTCCGGGGAAAAGGCGCATCCTTTAGTAAAGAATAGTCGTCTTTCTCAACTTTATCAGTGTTAAACTCAAAATAACATGGGCCTCCTTTAGCTTACTATCCATTCCCTTGACATGACATCCCTGGAAAGATCCATTGTAATCTCTTTCAGCCCTATCAAACTGTTGATAAAAGGTTTTATAGGCAGGTGTTTTCTATTTTTCCCAGTAGTGTCATCAAAAGGATGTAAGTGCCGAAAAGGCTCCCACCCTCGGGGTAAGGGGGTCGGATGTACGCAGTCTTACCCCTGTACTAAAGCACAGAGAGACTATTTCCGGATGACCCATAGTGAAAATCGCGTCCAAAATTGCATGGATTGACTGCTGCTTCATAACAATGAAATGCAGACAGTTTAGTGAGTCATTTTGCTTTATTCCATGATATTCTCAAGCCAAAAAATAATGAATCTTTGACTCCATTGCAAATCATGGAAATATAAAACATATGCAATATTAAAAAAATTATGATCTGTGAGTTCTATTATTATTTTTGTCACTAAACTGCAAGCTTTGCTTAAGTTTTTCCAACGATCTCACCTTGGTTGGACACATGCATATTTATGCTTTTTAAGTCTACTACCAAGATATGTCATTTGTGTAAAAAAGCAAAAATGCATCATTATAGTAGTCATAATCAATACACAGCTTCTTTTGAAAAGTTGAAAAATGCATTCATCTTAATGTGCGTATGTAGTATGTGCATTAAATAAGACACATTCCTTGTGTATTACTACATAACTACATAATAGTCACATTTATTTTATCCTAATACTACGTATCATTTAAAACTAAGCTAGTTTTTTTCATTTTTGTTTAAATGCAATGGGTTCCGGCAGTTTGCTATATACACACGGGCTGTCTCAGTAACATACACACCTAAGAAGTTAACCACCCTGCCCCCATTCTAACACAACCAACCTTTCTGCCTGCTACCAGGCCAATTCCGTGCATGTCCAGCTACACACAGTCACACACGCACAAATAGCTGTTGGAACAATTATCTCCGTTGAACTTCAATTTCAAACAATCTACATGTCAATCTAATACATCACAACTCAAACTTAAAGGGTATAAAAAATATAACCTCATATTTTTTAAAAACCTTAATATATATACTCCGTATATACATGCCTATATTTAGATTTGTTGCTTTTGGGGCTTGTTTTCCATTGTATCTGCTTTTCCATTACCAAATTATGAAATTATTATTGTTCTTGTACGGTATTTGTGTGTGTGCACATGGTCGTTTTTTAGGGGTTCAATAACTTATCTAGAACAAGGGCCCCGAATTTATGGGGCCCAAAATTTTAAATCTCTTTAGTGTTGTATTATATAGTACGGAGTAATATTATATACTACGTATTAAAACAAATCAGTAAAATACCAGTTGACAAGGAAGAAAAATATAGATCCATCATTTTTATTGGTTCTTTTACTCTTTTAGTTCTCTTTTAATGAATATTCAATTGATTTGAGTATAAGTATTTGGAATGAGTTTTTTTCTAAAACTTTTTATATTAATGTGGGGACTCAATTTTACATTTAGAATTCAAGCCTCCAAATTCATTAAACGGCCTTGTGCGTGCAGATTATATAAAGTGTGTCTATCTGTCTCCTTCCCCCCCACACTTCCAATTATCCACATTTTTTGTTAAAGGTTGGTTCATAGCTTAAATAAAATAACCACTAATGATATAGTGACCGGTCGGTTAAATCTTGTTAATGTGAAGTTGATGTGTTGGTTATGAGCTACTTCGTATTGTTTATTGAGTTAATTAGTAGCAGCTACTTTGGGTCTGATTTCATACCAACCATAAAAATGAATGAATTACAGGCTAAACATAATGACCCCAATTTTATCAACTAAGAAATAATCTTTTTTCAGCCATCTATATAATCTATTATTCTATATTAGAAAATAAAAACCATAAATGGCAAAGAAGAAGTGAAGGAGGGATTAGAAGTTGGTTACCACGGTAAGATGGCGAGCAATAGCTGGAGCCTTCATTCCCATATAATGGCGGAATGGCCAGGCCCAACGCCTATACTGCTAGCTGCTCCCCATGACTTCTGAGTCCCGACAGAAAGGTACTCCAGAGAACGATTTTTTTGTTGTTGGGAAATCCAGAGTAGGCCTGTCAATGGGTCAGGTCTAGACCCGGACCCGACCCGGTCCCGGTTAATTTTAATGAGTATGTATCTACTCCCTCCGGTTCTAAATAAACTTCTCACTTTCCTTTTTGGGACGGTCCAAAATAAACTTCACACTTCCTTATTTCCTTATTTGGCAAAGAAATCTACACCAAAACAGTGCCAAACAGTGCCAAACAGTGCCAAACAGTGTCTCAACAGTGCCAAACAGTGCCAAACAGTGTCTCAACAGTGTACTCTACAGTAAAGTCAACTTTATTTCCTTAATAACTGTGAAGTCAAACACTGAAGTTTAAAAAGAACCGGAGGGAGTATATTTTATTCTGTTTACTCGGACCCGGATCCGGACCCGTTAGTATATTTAATAAACGGGTCGGGTACGGTACATATGATTCCGACCTGTTAAGGACCCAGACCCGTTTAAAATTTCTTATTTGTATACAAACACACCAATACATAAAGTGATTAATTATAACACTTCGGGTAAAAAAATTACAAACTAATATATACACACATATAGACATAATAATACATTAAATTATTAGTTGTAATTCTTCTATCGAAAATACACACACTAATACATACCTATTATATACGGAGTAAGTGATTGGGATCAGGATAGTGTGATAGCATTAAATTAATACCCATTCTGGCCGTTTATTCATAATGATAAATGTGTATTAGGGTCGGTTAACAACACACAATATTCATTATTATAATAATAATTATTATTAATATTATTATATCATTATCATACACTCCGTACAATATGTTTTTATACTCTCAATAGTCCAAGACATCTTTTTTAACTTAATTTGAAGTTTATTCTACGAGCTCTATGTACGAGAAAAAGCGACACAGAGTGTGGAGTTATACACAACCAATACTTTATTGGATAAAAGTAATAATATGAGAAACCTTGATTTTTTTAAGTGAGAATATATTTTGCTTTTTAGTTTACGCACTGTTCTTTACATTGCACATAAAGGTCTTGTTATTTTCACAACATTTATAACCGTATCATACTTGGCGGGTCTACCCCGACCCGGTTCCGAGACCCGTTGGGTTCGGGTTTGGGTCCAAATTTTCAGACCCGCCGGGTAAGCGGGTCGGGTCTGGATCCATTATTAACTTGGCGGGTCCGGATCTGGAACACTACGTTCCGGACACGACCCATTGACAGGTCTAATCTAGAGAACGAATTTTGATATCAATTATTAGGGTATTGGATATGCTTCTAGTTGACGGTAGTAAGGGAAGAAGAGATTTAGTGATTAACGGACGTATATCATCCATTTGTGTAAGTAAACCAAAGTGTACAACTTTAGAATTGTATGGTACCACTCAAATAAGCAACCTGATTACACCAACACTTTTTTCATCCCTAAAATGCCCTAACCCTCATTGAGTATTATAAGCTTTTATTTAAGATAAGATATATATATATATATATATATATATATATATATATATATATATATATTGGTTCAAGTGAGAAATGCATCTAATGTGAGAAACGAGAATGAATCTCAGCCATTAGATTTACGAAGTTGCACTACAAATGACTTTATGTTGCAGTAATATTTAAATTTTGCAATGTTGCACTAAAACTGTTTCATGTTGCACTAATATTTGACGGTGTTGCACTGAAATAGCTTCATGTTGCACTAGACAAGTGTAATACGGATTTTTCAGAAGTATTTACAGAAATGCCACCATGCTAGATTTCATATTTTAGTGCATCATGAAGTGTCTTTTACTGCAACTTAGTTGAATCTAATAGCTGAGATTCATTCTCACTTCCCACCTAATGAGCTCTTCTCACTTGAACCTTATCCTATATATGGATCTTTTAAAAGTGTATGAACTTATTTATGAATTTATGCAATTTTAAAACTGATCTTTTTATAAGTCCATGAATAAGTCCATAAATTAAAAAAAACCACTCAATGTATAAAAACCCGTATTTTTAATCTCTAAATAAAAAGGTATTCAAGCCTTCTAATTTCTAAAATCCCAAAGCTCTGGAGTAACATAGAGGAAATACATGAGAAAGGTAAATGCTGAACGGGGAGCCTACTGGGGATAGAATCGTCGCCCTCATCTCCGCACCCTTGAACCTTCCCGGTAAAGAAAACGCCGTAATGCCATTTTTGTCTCTGTAGAACAAGTCGCGTGCCTTCCGATTCCATTATATTGGTGGTATCTCTTTGGTCGGAGGGCGACGGAAGTGAGGCTAGGTGGGCCCGACTTCACCGCCATTTCCTCATGTCGTCGCATCGGCGGCGCCACCACCGCTCAAGGTCTTTAGTTCCGGCCATTTTTATTGTCTCCTGCATCATTCTCGTCCTGTTTCTTTCCATTTCATTGCTCGCACCTCCCCTCACTGATAGCAATCGACCCCACTACCGCCGCCGTGATATCTCGGTGATCCATTCACCAACCTCTCTTCCTCTTACTTATGTTAAGAATGCATATATGAATTACGGTACAAGCCGATATATATATGTTATGTATATATGTATGTACTGACTTTTAGATACAATATATGTGGGGCTTTACAGGTGAACGAAGGCATCCACAATGGGACTAGAGTTAATGTGTTTCATGTTCCGGTTAGGATTAATCCAAAGCCATATCTTGTGCTCCCATATGTTTTCATCATCATTAATATTTTCTAAACGCGACATTTTAATTTCTCTCATCTAGACCGGTGGAGGAATACATGATCAAGATCTATGGAAGTCAAAAAATGCCAAGTTCTTCTTTGGATGCAGTAATTCCAGTAGTAAATTTGCAAGTACGTCTAGCTTAAATAACAACTCATAATTAAGCTTCTTGCCATCTTAAATTGTATTTATTACACCCCACACGTTATTAAGATTTTTCCCTTTCTGCTTAGCTTTCTTATAATGTGCTCCTTATGGACTCACATAAGTGAATTTAAGTTGTGTAGTCTGGAACATTTTTGTCTCAAGGTTGTTGCACATTGCACATTTGCACCCTTCCATGTGATCATTTTCCTATTTTGGATTTCATTAGTACTGGAGCTCTTTTCATACTTTTTGGTTTTATTTGCAGATGCCAAGATCATAACACATCCAAATTGGTACTTGTCAATTGCAACCAGTGGAGGCCTCAACCAACAAAGGACAGGGGTAATTTTCTATATAAGGTTTTTGACAATCAGTGGTGGAATTTGATGTAATTAGGAAAAGAATGGAATAATATAAATTACAGGGGATTATGAAAGTGGAAACCATAGAAGATTTTCCTATATTGCACACATTCATCAGATGATGATCATATGACTAATTTTATACGTAGTATAGCCCAATGCGATTACTGGTTGCACATGTTTGGTGCTTTTAAAGGAAGTTATTGTTTAATTGAAGTTAACCCAACTACAACAACATCCAAGCTTTATTAGTTTGGGGTCAGCTAACATGGATCAACATATGAAATTGAAGCTAAAAAGGATACAAACAGGTCAATCCTCCACATGTATATGGTCTCTCACTTCGTTCTCTCCAAAGTCATACCCTTATCCCATAGACGAAATATCATATCATCTCTGACCACATTAATCCACGTCTTTTTGGGTCGTTCTCTCCCTCTCCTCCGTACCTCTTTTCCCCTCATCTCAATTCGTCTAACAAGTGCATCACTCGGTCTTCTACACGCATGACCAAACAACCCTAATTGAGACTCTTATCTTATCTTCAATAAGTGCTACTCTCACCTTTTTATCGGATAGTCTCATCCATCAAGTAGTTTTTCTAGTATGTTCACACATCCAATGCAACATGCTCATCTCGGTCACTCATATTTTGAATGTGATAAATTTTCAGCTCAACACTCTACACAATACAACAATGCATACCTAGTTGTTGTCCGATAAAACTTACCCTTCAGTCTAGTTGACATACCTCAAGATCTATGAAACCTTGATATACTCTTCCATTTCATTCACAGCCCAAGTAACGGAACGTATCACTAACCGGTATCTCCTGACCATCTATGGTAATCCCATTGTTACCACCACCGGTACCTCCACTAAATTTGCACTCCATATACTCAGTCTTGCTTTGACTCAGCCTGAAACCCTTGTTCTCCATAATTTGTAGCCATAATTCCAACTTTGCTTTAACATCTTATCTTGTCTCGTCAATCAACACAATATTATTGGCAACCATCATGCACCGTGGTATATCATTTTGAATTGATTTATACGTTCATCCATGACTAAAGCAAATAAGAAAGTACTTAGAGCTTTAATGAGGCTAACCCAATACTAATAAATATTTTTGTATAAACTGATCGCCAAAATTTTGTAGTAATCTCCTACAATTTACTCTGGGAAAATAATATCTTGCATCCAAGCCCATCATGCTTTGAGTTCATCACCGTTATGATTCATGCAATCAGTTTAATAATAATAGCTTTTGGATTAATGGCTTTTCTGGAGAATATTTATTGACCTCGAACAAAGTACTCATTATAGTTGTAAAAATTTATTTCTGAGAATTTAGCTATTTCTTTTATACAAGAAGATGAAATGAAGAAATAATAAAAATAAATGGGCGAAGGACAATTGAATATTTTCTTATGTGTTTGAACCTAGATGTTTATGTTGTAATGTAATTTCCTGAGGTTGTTTTGTGTGCTTTGCTGAATACGAGAATATTAATATTGATTGTTCAATACAAATATATTGGAATTCTCACTAGGATGAACTTATGTAGAAAGAAAAGTACTCACTGATTAAATATCTAGGAATGTTGAATACTTTCCCATCCACATGACAGATAATTGATGCTGTTGTTGTTGCTCGCATTATGAATGCTACTCTAGTTGTTCCAGCATTGGACAAGAAGTCATTTTGGAAAGATTCCAGGCAAGTATGGATAATGGGCTGTATTAGTTAACTTAACCGTGTACCAGTTTCTTTATTCCAAGTAATTTGTTGATGGAAATAAACTGAAAAGGCATTTTTGTTATTTAACTCCTGCTGGCAACTCAAAGCTTCATCAACTTGCATCCACCTTTCTCTTTGCAGTGACTTTTCAGATTTATTTGATGTTGATTTCTTCATATCTCATCTTGCAAATGATGTGATAATCATAAAAGAGCTCCCACTTAATAGAGGAAAGACGTGGAATCCATATACTGTTCGAGTTCCAAGGAAGTGCAGTGAGAGATACTATATAAACCGTGTTGTGCCCATACTTAATAAAAAACATGTAAGTTTTCCCCTGGTTTATAGTAGACACAATCAATGTTTGAAATTGCGTATTGCGTAAATGAGGCATTTTTGTAGTATTGCGTATTTATAAGCTTCGTGGCGGATTGAGGTGTAACAATGAGGCAACGATGAGGCGTAAGTCTTAATATGCAGCGCATTGTGTATGTAATAATTTAGAACTAGAAATAAATATTAATCCAAAACAACACATTTCATAAACAAACCAACAATAAAAGTCATAAAGTAATGGAAATTGTAATGATGTTTAATATCTACTAATCCCTCTTGTGTGTTTAGTGCAACACTTGCATCTAACATACTTGTATGGTTTCTCTTGTACTCCTGCTTCCGTTGGTTCAAACCCGTGTTCCCAAGCCGGGTCTTGTTTATCCATCGTAAACATATCGTACCTTACAGCAAGAATATCTTATTTTAGCAAATTATATGAAAAGTATACTATTAGTATTTAGGAATATAAAATATCCAATATACTTCCTTCATCCATTAAAACTTTGTCATCTTTGTCTCTTCAAGTTAATGGTGATAAACTTTAGCCAATAATTTTGATTAGTATAATTTATAAAAGTTATAAATTTTATACTTTTATGAAATTATTTTCGACAAAGAACGTTTTTGTATATTTTTTATATTATAAATCATTTTTCTATAAACATATATATATATATATATATATATATATATATATATATATATATTGGTCAATGTTTAACTTGATTGACCAAAAAATCTTAAGATGGATTTTTTTAAGGAAAAGGAAGTATAATTTACTTTAGCAAAATATGCAATTTAAATTATATTACAAATGATTTGAATATCATAAATGCATATTTTAGATAGGAATATATAATATAATGGTACAAATATAATTTTATATACTTTAATTTAATGGTATAATCCAATGAAAAATAAAATCGATAGGCATGCCAATAGTTTAAATTTACAATTATAATTTTATATACCTTTTTATAATTTTCCATGAAAAGTAAAACGTTTACAAATTGAGCAACCTGGAATTCAAAATGGCGCATGAAATATACAGGAAAGCATTAATTAAATACAAATAAATAAAAACCTTAATGATATCTACATAATTAAAAAAATGTAGAAATACAGAGTATTTAGTCTCTATAGTAAACTTAAGATTCCTAAAAATAAAAAACTTACAGTACCTTGCGGGGGAGTTGTGACCTTGCAAGTTGCGGAAAAATAATTAAGAATGTAAAAAACGACTCAATCACCGGAGCTTACTTCGACTCATGCAGACGATAAGCACAAAGACGAGAGGGAGAGGTGAGAGACGAGTACGAGATAGACGTACATGTAGATGAATCAATCAGATAAGTATTATCAATTATTGAAATACTTATTGACCCAATTATTTCATTTAATCGTCTGCCTTTTTATTCCGTACGCTTAAGGTGCGCCTAATTCCGTATGCCTTATAGCGTACACCTCACTCTAAAAGGCGTAAGCCTAGCTATGGTGTCAAACGAGATATGCCCTTCATCGTATATACCCTCGAAATTGATAAAGCGCGCCTTTTCTATTGTTCAATTTCGAACATTGAACACAAGTTATTTAAAGCTGCACACAATTGCATTTAACAGTTCTAATGAACTTAGCCTATGATTTCACTGAACACTTTGGGACATGGAACATTTGAGTTTCTTGCGTGAAGATCATTGGAGGTAGCCGAAGTTATGAGATGGGGGAGGATTATGAGCAATATGCGCGTGTAAGAAATAAAGAGCCTGTTTGGTAGCACGAAAATCGGCTGTTTTGGCTGATTCTGCTGAAATTTATGAAGTTCTGGCTAAAGTGGCTGCTTTGGCTGTTTCTGTTGATTTAAATAAAAATTATTTTTAAAATATATTTTATTAATAAAATAAAGAAAAAATTATATGTAAAAATAGCTAAAATGATCATCTACAGTAACTTCATCCAATACAGCCAGAAAAGTAACTCCAACCTTACTTTTTCTGCTTATTACACAACTCAGCGCGCGAAAGTAAAAATTACGTGTTTGGTGAAAAAGTTGGCTGATAAGCCGAAAAATGATGTTACCAAACGGCCTCAAAGTGGTTTGGAGAGAATGCATGAGAGATTAATCGTGGATGTTTTAAGTTGTGATATTTGGAGAAAGAGAAGACTAGAAATAATTTTGACATTATTGTGACGAACGACTATATTGAGGATGTGGTGGAAGTCTTTTGGAAGGATCACTGCATTATGAGCACTAAATTGGTGGTAGGAGTTGAGATCATGTTTGTAGTAAGTGCCTATGTGTCACAAGTGGGGCTTAATGCATTTATAATTCAAAAATTCTGAAAAATCTTGAGGAAGTAAGGCATTAACAGCGAAAGTGAGAAAAGTTGGTTATTAAAGGTGACCTCCATGGGCATGTGTGCTCGAGTAGTGATGGCTTTGAGAGTGTCCATGGTGGACATGATTTTGGCATTAGAAATGAAGCGGGAATGAACATTTTGGATTTTGCCTTGATGTATGAATTGGTTATAATGAACACTTACTTCAAGAAATGAGATTCTCACCTTGTGACCTAGACAAGTGAAGCCAATAGTATTCAAATTGAATACGTCTTAATACTGGCTACTTGGTGAACTAGCTACACATATTGGATTTTGACATGATTTTGACCACTAGAAATGAAGTGGGAAAGAACGTTTTGGTTTTTTCCTTGATGTATGAATTGGCTATAATTAACACTTACTTCAAGAAAAGACTTTCTCACCTTGTAGACATTTAGATTTTAGACCTATATTATTATCAACTGTTATTCTTTCCCGTATCTTAGTTGGATTTTGAATGCCTTATGTGGAGGACTAGGTATCTTTTATGTAATTATATGGTATTCTTTCCCGTTACTTTTACAAAAAGAAACAAATTCCCATGCTCTTTGTAGTGGTTTGGACCTAGACCAGTTTTTTTTTCTTTCCTTTTCCTGTTTGTAACTGTATTGACAATAGTTTTACTAATTGATCAATTTGTAAAAGCTCTCTACTGTAATGACCTTGAAACTCATTCAAGATACTTGAGCTTCTAAAAAGCTGGGTCTCAGCCCCAAATATATGCACTGAATGACTTAGGTCATTTTTTGTTTAGCCTTTGCGTTGTTTTTGTAAGGTCTTGACGATCCCAAGTATAAACAATCTACCTTATTACAGGCTGTCAAGATCCCCAAGTTTGACTATAGACTTTCAAATAGGTTGGAGGCAGAGTTGCAAAAACTAAGATGCAGAGTTAATTATCATGCTCTGAAGTTTGTTGACCCTATATATGAACTGGGAAAGGAATTGGTTCACCGAATGAGGATGAAAAGCAAGCATTTCATAGCACTTCACCTAAGGTTCATCCTCGATGTTTCTCTTAGCTTAAATTATGTACTTGTGTCTCTTTTTGTCAATGGAGGATGTGGGAGTTTGAATCTTTGGGTGCATACTTACTTATGAGGCACCTGATTGAGTTTGTCGCTACTGGTACAGTGACACTTATTATGGTAGTGAGGGGGTGTTTGGATCTGACTCTTAAAACTGCTTCTGCTCCCTCAAGGAGCAGAAGCAGAAGATGGAGTGTTTGGGTGAACGTGCAGAAGTGATTTTGGTGCTCTAATTTGCTCCTAGAATCAGTTTTTTAGAAGCTGGGGTGACTAGCTTCTGAAAACTGATTCTGATTTTGCTTTTGCTTTTGCTGTTAAAAAAGAAGCAGAAGCAGAATCAGTTCCAAACCAAACACCCCTAAGTGCCCTTTTTTCTGTCCAGTAAACATTTATGTCTTTGCTTATGTTCCTTCTTTTGCATTTTCTTACAACTACTATTAGTTTCATTTGTCACCTTGGAGTACCGAACCATTTCCTCTTCTTAATACTGCGTTTTACAGTATGCTTTATAAGAAAAAACACTAATGCTACTTAAGAGTTAAGACTTAAGATGAAGCTTAAGGAAATGTGCCTATATTGGTTTCCTTATCTCTAATGCAAAATGAGCAAAACTTTGTTACCTTACAACTTTAATAAAGTTATTTGCTTATCTTTATTAATAGTCACGTTTCTTATTTAGTTTTGCATGATGCATCAGAATAGAGACAATTAGAGGTCTTGGAATATCTTGAAAATAGTAAAAGCTTCATTTTGATCTTGATCATATATCCAAGAGAAGATAAGGGATCACTGGATTAGAAGGCCTGCTGAGTGCTGATAATGTTACTATCTTATATTCAACAGGTTTGAACCTGACATGCTTGCATTCTCAGGATGCTATTACGGTGGAGGAGACAAGGAGAGGATAGAATTTGGGAAAATAAGGAAGAGGTGGAAAACTTTACACGTAAGCCCAATTTTATTCTCTGTTTCTATATGATATATTATCTCTAACTCCCTACATTCAGATTGGACTTGAAATTAAAGTTTAGTATATGATTTAGGGTGTGTTTGGATCTACTTCTGAAAACTGCTTCTGCTCCTTCAGAGAGCAGAATCGGATATAGGAGTGTTTGGGTAAAAGTGCAGAAGTACTTCTGGGTGCTTCAAATTGCTTCTGGAATCAGTTTTTTAGAAGCTAGGGGTGACCAACTTCTGAAAAACTGATTCTGATTCTGCTTCTGCTTAAAAAAGAAGCAGAAGCATAATCAATTCCAAACACCACCTTAATAAACAAGCGGTTTATAAGCTAGATAACTGGAAGAAACTTACACTTTGATCCATATCATTCGATAATAATTTCTTTAATTTATTGAATACATATATTTTTAATTGGGGAAATAGCCATATATAACAGAATCTAGGAGGTAACCTTAAACCGATGATAGATTAATTTGGAGGAGAGGTTGCTGCTTGGCCCATGGTTACCTTCCACCATCCATGCATGGAGTCGACACTGCGGCGTCAGAACTAATAAATGAAGAGCCAAAGATAAATAATCGTGTTGGGTTCAACTTACACAGGAGGTTAATCAGGTTACCTCTAGATAGAAGTGAAGGTGAATATGCACAAAGAAAGAGATGGAGAGAACGGGCCTGCTATAGAGGAGTAATTAGAAATTAACGTGAGGTTGATTGTGTTTAATATAGATAGGAAAGGGTAGATATGTACTTCCTCCGTTCACTTTTAGTCGCTATTATAGGGTGTTTACAAATCGCAATAGATAAAATGAAAAAGTAAGAAAATTCATGTATTTTTAGAGATGAAACGGTAGGAAAAGTTGCCAAAATGGAAATTGAAGCAAGTAACAATAATCTTTCATAAAAGGAAAATGGAATAATACTGTCTTCCTCCAAATAGTTCGGATGAAAGTCCTGGTAATGATAATGACTCTGACCTTTTCATCAATTTCATATCCATTACAGTGACCAGTTATTTCAACCAAACCTTACTTTGACATAAATACAAAAATTATCATAAAAGTTTACGGTGTCATAGTTCATTTCCCGTCATTTCAGGGAATGTATCATTGTCTTCAAAGCACATAATGAAATTGTAATATTTGCATGCTACTGGCTACTGCTACTAGCCTACAATCATGCTCCCATTTTTATCAAATTCTGATGCAGATCAGTGTTCTATGCATCTAAATTCATTATGCAGAATAGCAATCCAGATAAGGGGAGGAGGCAAGGAAGATGTCCTTTAACTCCTGAAGAAGTGGGTTTGATGTTGAGAGCACTTGGATATGGCAGTGATGTTCATATTTATGTTGCATCTGGTGAAGTATATGGAGGAGGGGATACACTGGCTCCTCTAAAATCACTCTTTCCGAACTTCAACACAAAGGACACAATAGCCAGTGTTGAAGAACTGCAGCCATTTTCTTCATTTTCTGCCCGAATGGCTGCACTAGACTTCATAGTTTGTGATGAAAGCGACGTTTTTGTTACTAACAACAATGGAAACATGGCAAAAATTTTAGCAGGACGAAGGTATGATGCTATTTATTACAAAAGAAAATAGAGTTGTGTTAAAACGACAATATAGAGTAAAACTGTGAAGTGGCCAGTTTGTACGGTGGGGGATGAGAGTATGCAATCTAAAATGGGAAATGAGGATGTGTTTGACTGCATTTAGTTTTAATAAATACCTCACCTTTGTCACTCTCCCCATCTCTTAGTTCTCTTAGTTCGTCTTCCATTTTATCCACCCCACTTTAATTCTATTGAAAGCACAGTACATTGAATTTACATGACAAACTTTTTCACTTGATGTCTTTTAAGTTACAACCTTCTTGCTAAGAGTTATTTAGATGAAATTCTGAAGCCCTCATTACAATATGTTCTTTTTACTTGGATGAACAATACTGATTTTAGGAAGACAGTATCTTTTGACACATGCAAGTGACTTTCCTATCTAACAGCTTAATTAAGCATGACGTTAAAATACTTGGAAAATTGTAATCCGCAAGCAGGGACGGAGCTATGCATATGCCTAGAGGGGCCTTGGCCCCGCCCAACATTTTATTTTTCATTTATTGTCTTGTAATTTATTGGCCCCCAACATTGTGTTTCCTCTAGTAGTATAGTAGTGCAAAATATGTTTATACTTTGTTGTACACTTGTAAATATGATATAAGTAACTTAAGTGACTATAGTTGTATTTAAATTTTACATCATAGTGACTATAAAACTTACTCATACTAACTTATAGTAACGTGTTTGTCCATAGGTTTTCTATTTGTAATATTTTAGGAAAAAACTCTAAATAATACTCCGTACGTAATAATATATTATGGATAACATATTATGGAATAGTATTGAAGATATTTGGCTTTTAGTGTCTAATATAAAAGAATTATAAGGAAAAATTATGATGATAATAAACTTAGAGAGAATTAGTACATTAAGTAGTAACATTTTGCCCCCCCCCCCACTCTCACATCCTGGCCCCGCCCTCCGCAAGATGATTGCCACAGCTGAACCTCTCAAAAGAATCAATCATAAATGACCCCTAGTTTTATGATGTGGAAAATATCATGAGCCAATGATGAATTGAAATGGCTGCTCTTATCATTGTTCACTGCAAAATTGATGTTGTAAAGCTGACCTACAAAATCATGGAACAATGTTGTACTTGGTCATAAGTATGTTGTATTTAAGCTGCAAGTTTATAAGGCTTTTCTTGGTTAAGGTAAAATGGGAGAGAAACGGAGATTTTTTGTTGTTTGATGAGAAGAGAAGTAGGGAGGAGAGAAATGAAAATGGCGGGTCCTATATCCTCTATATTTCTCTCCCTACATAACAACACAAAATCTGCCACAATTCTCTAGTAATCTCTCTTCTCCATCTCTGTCACATATTTCTCTCTTTTCAGTTTCTTCTCCAAGCCAAATAGTCTCTTACTGATTATGTGCTAAAAACGTGCTGGGCAAGGTGAACCAATTTGTTTTCATTCACTGAGTGCAGGAGATACTTTGGGCACAAACCTACAGTTAGACCGAACAGTAAGAAATTATGGCGTCTTTTTTTAAGCCGGAACAACATGACTTGGGAGGAATTCTCATCCAAAGTTAATAGGTTTCAAAAAGGTTTCATGGGTGATCCTATGGAGGTTAAATCTGGCGGGGGGTTTCACGAAAAGCCTTCATCCTGCATTTGTAAGCTCTCAGATGGTACAGCAAAACTTTTATCATCAACCCCCCAAGAAGGTAGTGTAGAAGTATCGGTGAAAGAAGAAGACCAAAGCACAGCAGATGATGATATGGGGGATTTGTCTGAAGCTGATGAGCGTGAAGAAGACGATATACAAGATAGTTTGATGTCAGAGGAATCCGAGCTGGATGAGATGCTCTCAGACTAGCACATAGTCATCATCCCAAATTTGATAAACATGTTAACCTTGAGGTAGGTGCAATAATATATCAGCTTCGAAGAAGTTTTTACTTAGACAAAAACCTCGTGCAATCTCTCTTGAGATTTGAGAATAGAGATGAAGTTCAGCAAGGTTAGTATTACTAGTTTTTTTTTATTGTCATTTTTTATATTTGTAATCTTTTTCTTTTTCTCCATGTGTATCTTATATATCTCGTACAACCGTATATAAGTTTCTGCTATTGTGACGACTATAGTGAAATAAGTGTTGATTTGGGAATGAAAAATCTGTTATTGTGATGATTTTATTGAAACAATTATATACCGTGTGAGTGGCCCATAGTCAGCATCATAGTCTCACAACTAAAATGACATCATTTAGTTTTTACTAAAAAATGTGCGTGAACAAAATATGTTTTTGCCTCTATTTCTCGTGGTGTAAATTTTGTGCATTGAGATGTAATTTGAGAGCGGCCCATAGTGAGCATCATAGTTCCACAATTAAAATGACATCATTTAAGTTTAAGTTTTAACTAAAAAATGTGTGTGACAAAATGTTTTTGCCTCGATATTTCTTGTGATTTAAATTTCATGCATTGAAATGTAATTCTTTGGTTACAAATGTAAATTATGTAATCCTAATAGCGGCAAATGTAACTCGTGCACTATAATGCAACTCGCATTACCCTGAAGGCTTGAACTTTCACTTTTCATTTATGAAATGTAAATCGTGTATACAAAATACTACGCATAAGTTCAGACAAGTTGAAATGTAAATTATGACCAAGCAAAATATAATTTGAGGCAACTCGAAAATGTAAATTGCGTTAATTAAAATACCTCCTCTGTCCCATAAAACTCTTCATGGTTTAACTTGAATCAGAGTTCAAGAAAATGATAATAAATGAGAAATGTGTGATTGTGGTTGAGTCTGAGAAAGATAAATGAACATTTAGTCATGGACTCGGGTCGGGCCGTCTGGCCCGTGAACCGGTCCGGCCCGATTCCAACACTATGAACATTAGTGAGATAAAATTTTCCGAAAAGATAAATGAGAAGAATTATGGGGGACATTTCAAATAGGTAAATGAAGAATTTTATGGGACGAAGGCAGTATAACTTGAGAGAAGTTTGAAATGTAAAATGCGTTAATAGAAATGTAATTCGATGCAAATGGAAATATAAATGAAGTTAATGGAAGTGTAACTTGAGGCAAGTTCGAATGTAAATCACATCAATGAATATGTAATTTGAGACAAGTTAAAATGTAAGTTGTGTTAATCGAAATGCAATTTGAGGTAAGTCGAAATGTAACCTATCTACAAGTGGAAGACGGTTTAGGGATCGGCCAATCAAGTAGTTAATCCACATTGAGAAAGTATTCAACCTCAAGCTTTGGTTGAAGTGGAAACTAAGTGGGTGATTATAACTGATTCTACTTTTGCTTCTATTTTTAAAAGCCGAAACATATTCAGAATCCGTTTTTCAGAAGCTGGTCTCCCCCAGTTTCTAAAAAATTGCTTCTAGGATTAATTTAAAGCACCCAGAAGTACTTTTGTTCTTCCATCCAAACATTTCAATATCCGCTTATGCAGAAACAGTTTTAAGAAGCAGATCCAAACACTCCCTAAATTCTTCTTTTTGGGCCAATTTAATCCATGGTATATACAACATGGGTGATAAGGGGTTGACTCGGTCCCAGTCCACTAGGAGTGAAGCCCGAAATCGACCAAACATTATACGGGTCGCAGTCTAGTCCTGGATACCCGACTGTTCGCGGTCCCATATTCGGTCTTGGGCCGGTTCAGGCTTTGATTGTTTTTTTAAAATAAATAAATAACAAATGCTACAGATTAAAAAAACGCTACACATTAAAAAAATGAAATGTAGATTTATTTCAAATATTACATTGGCTTAGAGTATTACACATTTTTTTAAGAAGGGGGCTTAGATTGATATCATAACATTCAGATAGGGGTTAAAATAACAAAAGAACCACAAGTAACCATCCGCCCTTGGGCCAGACTCAGAGTTAATCACCTTTGACAAAGCAATATAACCCGCTTATCCTAAATTGGGCATAATTCAGCCATTGACGGTTACCGCAGAACTCTCATCACCCACTCCTAATGCAAAAGTCTTACAGTACCAAAGAAAATAAAAACCAAAAACAACAATCTCTGTGTGTAAATTAAAATGCAAAACAACAATAAAATAAAAGGCAGAGTTTGTCTTCTTCAGCAGCAGCATCCCTCGCAGCCTCCCCATTTTTTGCTTTATCTAGAGCCATTTTCTCTCCTGCTGTGTCCTCTTGTGCCTGTTCCTCCCATATTGTTCTGCGTTTCTAGTCAACTGGTACCTCCTTAGTGCTTCCGCTGCCTTCTTCTTTGGTGACACTATTTTCTGTACCAGCTGTAGCCTCTCCTCTACCTTGTTCCCCGGTACCTTCACCCCCTTGATCTGTCCTCCGCTGTTGTCTTGGACCTGACAGTTTTTCCACTAGCCATTTATTACCCCTTGTATAGTATTACACATTTATAAATTACAATTGTGAATAGTTTAAACTTTAAATACATGAACTAATTGTCGGGATCGCTTCCGGCGTTGGTTGTGATTTCTTCCATGAAGTGGCGGTCCGGTACTATGTTATCTTCTTGTGTTATATGGCGGACCTTCAACCAATCATGTAAACAAATGAGCGTCTCAAGAGATTGCACACTCAACTTCATTCTATAATTAGTCAGGACGTTACCGGTTTTGCTGAACTCTTGTTCCACGACAACTGTTGAGATATGCATTAACATCACTTGTTTCTCTGTTTTTTTTTATAAAATGGACAACACCCCATGGTTGATCCACCATCGGAGAATGTCAAACTCCTCTCCTTCATCATACTCAACAGGAAATATTAGATATAAGGAAAACTCCTTAATCAAGCTTTGTGCAACAGTAGGAGTAGATATACTTTTTTATAAAAAGATTTTTTTTCTTTTTGAAAATCAAATAATTATTTTATTCATATCAAATGATAGTAAAATAACAAGTAAATGAATAAGCTAAGGCTACAATGGGATGAGACTTTGAACAGAAAAGATCTCATGAATCCTTCCAGATCGCTAACCCGCAATATTGTAATCTAGTCTAACAGCCTTGTTGCACTTTCTACTCCAAATAGAAAATAGAAAAAACTACAAATGAAAGATCTGGCTTCACCAGCTACCTGAAAGGGAGAATTTATTCGATCAGCAGCCAACACAGGAAACTCTCTCGAGCTGAGATTGTCTGAATCATCGGTTTGACCAGCCACCGAAAAGGAGATCTGCTAGTTGAGCGCTTTCATTTTCCCGGAGCGAGGCGGTGGTTCTGGTGGAGGACGAATAACTAAAGCCTCTGAACAACAAAGTTGAAAAACCTTTGCCAACCATGAACAATGAAAACTCACCAGATCGATTACTCCGATGGGAAACCGACAAATCGCTAGGAGAAAAACATACCACACGCTCACATGAAGCGGACAAAACTCTTGACAGTAGAAATTAAACAAGATTGGAAACATAAAAGAGAACACCATCATCTTCTATAGTTCTTGTTGTTTGAAGAAGGTCGAACAAGATGGGAGATGACTGCCTAGGTTCCCCTAGGGCCGACTGTCTTTTAAAAGATTAGATATTGTAAATTGAAAAGGACTCTTTCCTTTAGATGAAGAAGTGGCCGGTTTCAGGGAGGGGGTACGTTACCATATCCTAATGAAATTTATTAAATAAATTATTAAATACTCCCTCCGTCCCGCTATGATTGTCTCATTTTACCTTTTCGGTTTGTCCCACTAAGATTGTCTCATACCTTATTTGGAAAAGTTTGTGTGGTTCTAAATAATTCCTACTTTATTCTTACTTTATCAATTCAATATCAACCACATAAAACCACTTTTATTAATAACTGCGTCACCTTCTCTTGTCCCCAACTTAGGGAGACGGAGGTAGTATATTAATAAACTCATTGAATTGGACTTGTGGATCTATAGGGATGTATACATACATAGGGATGTCACGGTAGAAAGTAGTATACTAATACTCTAAAAATGTTTGATAAGTAGCAAGTTTGAAACGGGGATCAAGTCGTAAAGCAATAACACATATAAGTGTAAGGTATTTTAAAAAGCCATTTTCTAGGCCGGTGAAAGGATGTATCTTTTTTCTTTCATGAAATCACAAAAATAATGAACATAAGTGAATTCGGAAAATTCTTTGAATGCACCGGCGAGATTAACAACTTCAATAAAAATAGGTTACTAGTAGGTGTATAAACACGAGAAAAAATTTGAGTAGTGTTATGAAAAATAATAATTACAAGTTTATTTCATAAAAGCAGGTAAACAATCAATAAATCTAAGGAGCACAACAATAAAATAATAATTACTATTCCAACAAATAGGCAAATAGTTAGGAAAAACATAATACTTAACACATTTATATTTCAAATAAGCATGTCATTGCATTTTAAGTTGAGTATTACCCCAAACCATTCGAATAGCCCCCTTAACTTTCTCCATCACATTTCCTAATGCGGCTAAACCGTCTTTCACACATAAATTAATAATATGAATAAATATATGATTGAAAAATTAAAATAAGATAAAATGAATAAATAGTCTGATAAAATGTTATAAGTGTGACATTTTAAATAAAGTGAATGAGAGAAAAGTTTAACATCGGTTAATCAGAAAATAGAAGTGATTTTTTTATAATAATTACGAAAGTAACATTTTTATAACAAGTCCTGGCGAAATATCAAAAGTGACATTGATGAAAAAATCTACCCATCAAAGTAGAAGGACCACACAATTCACGCAATTTAGGTACACCACCAATATTATTAGTAGCATTATCAATATTATAGCAAAGACCTTCTGAAGCAATTATTTTCAATAAAAATATGTTCTATGATAATATAAATAGGTTTGATTATCTAACTAGGAGTAAAACATCAGACAAGTGAAAAAGTAGGACCTGAATGTTTGGTAGGAGTACAAAAACAAGAGTTTGACAAAATTACCATTAATGACAACTTGAATTTTTATTAATATTTACGAACAAAATAATTAAATTAAATAAAACAATACAATAGACAACCAATTAGACGACACAACCCCAGCACAAGGCCACCCCTTCTCTGCCGCCAATGTCGGAGGCCGCCCGCCGGTCACTATCGATCACATCTTCCGCTGATGCTGCCTCTCCCACCATCAACTAGCTCATTCGTTGCCGTCCCTGCCTTTGTCACCACTATCGCCGCCGCCTATGGAGCCATTGCCTCTTTTAGTGAGACTAGCAAATCTCCGACATGAC